TGGTTGAAAAGCATATTTTAAATACAAGATATTAGTTCTTTGTTGAGGTCCATCCATCACTTACAAGTGGCCAAACATTCTAGATGCCCTTTGGGTAGCATACCTCTCTCTTTGACTCTAAGAAAGATGCTTTGGCTCAGTGCCAGGAATATGGCCAATTTCAAAGAGTTTCCCCAGTTCCTTTTCTTTAGTGTCGTATATTTGCTTTGAAAAAACTCACAAAATGTTCTTTGGGGATAGAGGCATGGCAAGACCTTTGAACTGTCCTACTACTTGAGCCTACCCACACTGATTTTCTTTTGCCTCTAGCTCTAGTACAAACGATTCAGTCTTATTAGATCCACGCTCTAATTTTTTAGTGTCAACAAAGCAATAAAGGGAAACGTTTCCTTTCTTTATTCCAGGCTCAAAACAAAATGCAAAAATACCTCTGTCATTAATTTTGTGCAGGTGAATGTTGTTACAATATTCCTATTAGCATGTCCACATGCTTGACAACTTCTCAGATGGTATTAATAGACAACTTGCAAAACAGCATTTTCTGCCAGCCTGGTGCAAATTGCCAGAACCTTTAAGCCACTCGTCCTCAACTTAGCAGCAGTATATCATCATTACCTGTGGCTGGACCAAGAAATCACATTTGTCAATGCCGAAATTGCTCTTTTACTTCAGTGGTTTTTGAAACCCACTTTGTTTTGGAAATGGATTTAGGTGAGTATATTTTTGAAAATGCAGAAATATAAGAAGCATCAGCTGGAGATGTAAGGGATATTTAGGATGCTTTATTTTCCATGGTCAGCTGATCTTTGCAAGATAACTTTGTGAAACCAAATGGGGTACAACGGAGTACAGTCATCTTTTGAACGAAGGCCTGATAAGGTCCTGAAACCCTAGAATCACACCATAGAACCAGTATGCTTCATTTTGATCATAGGAGAGTTGAATTATATTAATACTAATAGTTTAAATGTAGTCATTTTTCATATATCAAGTTTGTATTTGTCACGAAATCCTATGGTGAATTGAGACATGGGAAAATAAGGCTAAGTGATTTTCCCAAGGTCACATAGCTAGTAGATGGTACAGTTAGAATTCAAAACCAGATTTGTCTCCAAATTCCAGCTTAACTCTTGTGTTCTATTGATTATGGCTTTAAAAAATTGTTGTAACTTCTAAAGAAAGACGACCTATGTTTGGACTATAAAGTATAAGCATAATATACATGTTATTTTTTGTGCTATATAAGAGCTCTATTTTTCAGTTCTTCACTTAAATTTTTTTTGCTATTTTGGGAACAACAAATTTCAAGCCCTCACCTTAAAGACATACAGATGTATATCAAGGACTGATTCCAGGGTCAATTTGCAGTCCTTGTCTTGTTTTCCTCTATTTCCTCCCACTTTTATCTTAAATGGATCCAGCCAAATGTAGGAAATGTGAATTAGTGCTGCATAAAGGTTGGAGTTATGTGTATGAACCAGTTGGGTCTTAGTAATTTCAACTCAGAGTATTCTACTCTTCACAATGTTGCAGTTCAATTGTGCATGTTGTACATGTCTCCAGGAGTTAAGATCTTGATAGTAGATCTATAGTTTTTAGAAAGCCAATTGTATAAAAAAAAAAAAACCTCAATTCTTTACCAGAAAATGGAAGAGAATAAACACACACACATATTTATTTTAAGCAGGATAAAATGTACCTAATATTTATTTTCCTAAAATCCATTTCTGTGTAGGTGTCAGAGTCATATAAGTAATTTAAGAATTATTTACTTGAATATCTCTTTGTGTAATTTATAGATTTTTCCATGTGATTAAGAGCTAAAATCATTACATTTTATTCTTGTCAAATTAGTAATGCATATATGCCACTTTTTTATGACATTACTGTTCATAAGGTCATTTTTTCTTGAGTATAACATTATTTCTGTTGAAGAATTCATTTCACTCTGTTCAATTTTCATACTGGTTGCTATTTGAAATGTACAACTAAGTGTGATCTAGATTTAATAATAATGTATATGAACGTGATGAGGTTTTTTTCACCTTGCAGAATGTGTATGAATTCGGATATAGAAAAGATTGTCTGTTTTCAGTTAATCTAGGGGGTTGGAACTTGGGGCAAATGAACTCATTCTCATGAATGTGTTTCTAAAATAGTTCTTACTAGTGTTTGAGACAAGTTAAAATAAAAATCAACCAGTACATGAAAAGAGACTAAGAACAATGTTAATGTGGCAATTTAAACCAATTTGGTTTTCCAAGTGAACTTTCTTCTTTCACAATTTATAACGGCATGCAAGATTGCCATCCTTAGTGTCAGATATTATCAATCTGATGTGGAAAACTTAAAATATTTTCTAAATGTCCTTAAAGCTGAGGTGGAGAAGAATGACTCTCTATTCTATTTTTAGAAGGGTCAAAGTTTGAATCACGGCTATGCTGTCCCCCCATAAAACTTACTGGTCATTCACAATAGTTTTCTCTTTTTCTAGTGTATACTATGTCCCCAAATGATTTTGTATTGTATTGTATGTTTAAAACAGAATGGAGAGTAGAGGGTCAGGATCTTTAGGAAGAGAAAGAGCCCTATGTGGAGGAAGTAATTCAATACACAGCTTGTTATTTAATTAATTTGGTACATATACAACTCTGGCAATTTGGAATTTTGGTAATTTTTTTATTTTGCCTGGATATTACAAAAAAATACAGTTTTATATTTGCTATTTACTTCACTGATTTATTTATGAGTAGAATGAAAATCTTCATTATATTTAATGTTGGAGCTGACAATGATAAGCACAGGAAACCCATCATAGCAGAATTTATTCAAGGCAAAGCTGGCGCAATACAATTGCCATTTCTGGGCATAGTATCCCATTGTGCCTAAAACTTTAAAGGACGAATTACATTTCTTACCACGTCTATCACCTGCTGGTTAGGATTGAAAGTTCATGATGTAGATTCTTTACAGAAACATGCATTCTCTTTTTCTACAAAAACATCTAAATGTTTACCCAGCTTTATTTAGGATTAATAGAATTCTGTGTACCCAGATATATCAGGGAAAACCACTATAGTGAAAAGTAATCAGCAGCTATACTTAAGGGCGAAACAAAGTTCCTTCACTATGGGCTTGTGGAAGCACCAAGAAACTAAGTTGCTTTCCTGTTTTCCCTCCTTGCCTACCACCTCGCCCCCACCCATTCCCTCTTTTTTTTCTATAAGAAATGATACTTGAGAAAAACGTTAAATTATCCATGAAAGCCTAGGACTGTAGATTGTTCTTTCTATTCATTGCATTTTGTGCACTTTATCCTTCAATATGTTTTTTGTTTGTTTTGTAAACTAGTACTAGGTTGAACCCACAGTCTTAATCATGCTAACAAAGGCTCTACCACTAAGCTACACCCTAACCCCTTTTAATTGCTAATATATTATACTTTATGTAAGCCAGATAGGGTTCCATAATGTAGACTGGAACCAGCATAGTAATCTCATGAGCCATTTTTTGTTTTTATTCCAAGGAATTAAGAATGAGTCAGCTTCTTAGAATAATTTGTACACTAGAGAAGCCAATGGGAAGCCATCATCCCTGAATACCTTTTTTCCATCTGATCCATAATACACACAGAAGACAGTTACTAATTGTTAGTCACATGTGGAATCTTCTCAGCCAATAAATAACTGCTACAGAGATGGCCCTATGTTTGAAATGCTATGGTATGCTTCTATTCACTTAATCTGACATTATGTTAAAGCCTAATATTCTTTCTGGCTTTCAGAATTCCTAGTAAATTGTTTCCAGGCCACCTGTTTAATATTGGTAATTTGGAATGGAGTTCCCTAGGTTCCAGTATAGGACTATGAATCAAAAATGATGAATTACAATTCACTAGTTTCTGCTAGATCATTGTGAGGTTGGTTGATGAGCTAGAACAGTTCCCAAAGCATGGTTTCATTATTTTGTTATTTGAAGCATATTCATTAAGGGCATATCTCTACCACACAACTCTGCAAGTCTTTTCTAATTAGAGGAATCATCCAGGAGTGGTAATAACATTTACAGAAGGGGTTGGAGGAGAGTTAAAACATTATATTTTAGCCTTGAAACTAACTAGATGTTTCATGCTTGCAAGAAGTATCACTAACAGACTTTATGAATGGATGCTTGTTAAAGAGGACTTCTCTCACAGGAAAGAGAGAGAGAGAAATAAAGAGAAAGATAAAGAGAAAGAGAACACATACAATTCAGCATCTATTAGTAGGAATAAAATGATGCTTATATGTCTATAAATGCTATATCACTATTTTTATAACTACTTTTAACTCTAGTTATGCTTTTTGTGGTCCACTTCTGTTTAAAATGTGGAACAAATCTGGAAAAAGAGATAGAGATCTAAAAAGTCATCATATTGCTCTACCTGTTTTATGTAGGTAGTATGATGCCAAGCCCTTCTTTACGGACTAAGAAGTCTGCTTGATCATCAGGGCTTTAATTGTCTTTGGCTTTCCTCCACCAGAATGGGATGAAAATAAGAGAAGACAGGGCCTGTGGTTCTGATGGGAATACAGTAGGCGACTAGTGGGGCATGGGTGACTGAGTTGCTGAGGATCCCTTATTGCAGTCTGAAACAGATCTGGCAGGTAGATTACTCACAGGTCAAGGAGATCCTTGTGCCTCAAATGGACCAATTAAATTGTAGTTGGGATGAGGTGAAGACAGAGTGAAAGTAAATCCATTTCTGTAAATGGCTAAACCTCTTACTGACCCTCATCCCATGCCATGTTGAAAAAACTTGATGGAGTACTGCATAGCTGAGATTAACCTGACCTCAAACTTGTCAACTAGTGCCAGAGTGACTTCAACTCCACCTCTTCTAAAGATAAAGTGATATCTCTCTCTAAAAACTTCATAAAACAAACCAAAAACCTAGGATGTTTTTTAATGATTTATTGACTTTTCAGATTGTTCTTTAAGCTGTTTTTTAAACTTTAAAGGCAACACTGATAATGAACGCTTCCAAATGGTAAAACAGAAAATCCCCTTCAAATATAACCGGCCCGTAGAAGAGTGGCTGCAGGAAAAAGGTAACCGTCGTTAAAACTTTCATTTTAAAAATCATTTGATTCTAAACCCTCATTTTTAAAGCCTGCAAATAAATGTTCCTTAAATGATAATCGCCTGCTGCATAAATGACTGTTTTAATTTTCATTATAATTTGTGTCAGCTTCCACCTGCCATATGTTGATAAATCATGCTATAATACATTGCCATTAAAATACAGTTAAAGGGACTAACATCTAGCCTGCTATCAGCATGACAACCACAAACAAGAAATTCCAGGAACTTCTATAAAAGAAATGTATTATGGCAATTTAACCACTGCATGATATTATTTGTTAATTTGCTTTAAATTACCTCTTACACCAAAGCTTTCTAAAGAAATTTCAAAAGTACTTTTTAAACTTATGTATTGAGGCTGTTTTGGCTTTATTATCTGTTAACCAAAACAAACAAACAAACAATATATGTAAATATATATATATATGTGTGTGTATATATATATATATATATCTCATAGATCAGCTCTTGTAACTTAAACTGCTTAAAGCAAATGTTATAAGGGAAGCCATGTATTTTAACATTTGTTTTTAAACAAAGAAAAGAAAGAAAAAGGTGAATTTTGTCATGAAATTCAAATCTAAAAAGGAAAAAATTCTTATAAGAGATTAGTTGCATTCTAGTTACTGCCTCAAACTAAAACAAACAAAACTTATTTTACACTTTGGTTGTATTACACCTGTGTATTTGATTTTTTTTAATGCAACAAAAGTGTAAGTGGTTAAGGCAAGGAGTTAGTAAAGGAAAGATTCATGAAAAGCAAAACAGCAGTTTCTGATTTGCTGAAGGAAACACCCACGCTATGAATAAAAGAGGGCAGCAGTTATAACTCACGGTGGAATTTTCTGTGTGGCTCCTGTCAATTAAGAGATAAACTTTTTTAATGAAGAAGATTCTCTATCTCTTAAAAAGTTATTTTTTCTATTCTTTCCTAAGATGGTATGTGTTAACTCTCTTCTCAAGATCCAAAGTGAGCCATTAGAATTTGTAGAGATTTGATTGAGTTACATAGGAGTAGTAATTAGGAATATTATATAGTATACAACTTAAGAATCAAAGGACAATGTTAGTGTTAGTTTGGGTGAAGACATTCAAGCCTTTATACACGGAAAATCCTCCCCAAGTCTTAACTGTATGCCCTGTTTTCAATATATGTGGTCTAATTAAAAATAAATTAAGAATAACTCTAAAAAATAAATAATTTTTTTTAGTAATCACCAGCTCATAAAGTCCCTTTAACAATAAAGACAACAATTGCCTCACTTTTAAAAAGGAAAAGAGAACTAGATGCATGTCTGAGTCTCATGTGCCTGAGAGAACTTTTTTGTTTCTTTCAATTTTATGTCAATAATATTTTATTTTACTTCATTGCCTTTTGAAGTCTAAGTTTAATGGCATGCCAGACATTTTCATTTGTATAAGTCATTATAAAGCAATTAGTAGGCTTTTAGTTTTCCTTATGATAGTAGCATTATCAGTTGGCTTTCATATAAAAGGATGCTTTCAGATATACAAGTTGAGGGTTTGGATAAGGGAGGGGTGGTTGATAAGGGATGGAAGGGGGTGTCCTAGTTACCTATCAAATATATATGTTTATATTTGCATATAATATTGAAAAGGTTTATTTGCAAACTGTGAGGCTCTCTTCTATAATACTTTCATTGAAATTACTTTTTGTATAGTTTAAGAAACATCTGTTTCTTCTATTGCTTTACTTCTTCCTCTGCCTAACTGACTTTTCCTTCGAAAGGAATAGAAAATGTAAGACAATCCTTATAAAGGGTAAAGACAGAAGGATGATTCGACAAACATTTTAGGAAGTACATGGAATGTCTCTTTGGAGTTATTTCTGGCTTTGGGGAAGAGAAATGGGTCATAGCACTCCCAAGCCTGTTTTTTGGCTCTGTCTACTACTGACTGATTTTCTGACCTTAGACAATCCACTTAACCTCTTTATGTCTCAGATTTCCTATCTGGTGAAAGAAGAAATAATACTGCCTATTTCCCAAGGGTGTTTTGAGGTTTAATTAATTAGTTTTCATATGATATTAACTGGGGACCTGAAAAGATTTAATTTAAGCATATGTGAATGTGATGTCCAAATGAAGTAATAATTAATGACTTCCAAGAGGGTGAGCACCTAAAACAAAACAAAAGTTACCTGTTACAAATCTTATCCTGGCATTATAACCAAATTTCATATTATTGATGATAGAGCAATCTTCAGACTGGTATATGCATATAATATGTGTGTGTGTGTGTGTGTTGTGTGTGTATTACATATATATGCATATTCACATACACATATGTGTGTATATACATATATACATACACACATGTAGGTGTATATACACATATATATATACACATACAAACACACACATACACACACGCATACAATGGTCACTCAGCCAAAACATTTATTGGTCATAAGAAATGACAATGATTAGAATAATGAGATATGGCATTGATTTTGAAATATCTTGGGAAAATGACAAAAAGAGGAAGTTTCACCTCCCTCCTAGGCAGAATGATGACTGATTCTCACTTATCTACTACCTCTCTGAGAGGTAAGTCAATCAGAGGAAGAGATGGCAAGAGAATGAGAATGTTCTCTTCCTTTAGTGATTACTAGCTTTGTTATTAACCACTGAATCTAAAGTACCGAGGGCTAGCAGAAAGTTTTAAGATAAAAGAAAAGCAGACTATATGACAAACAAGAAAACAAAAACCCAAACCCTTCCAATGGCGTGATGGAAAATAGAAATAAGCCAATCCCCTTCTCTGTCTCACAAACCAATATTTTGGTTCCAAAAATAATTAGTTAGGTCTCTCTGGGAAAGCAATGATAACCAGAAGTGAAGCAGCAATTTAATCTTATAGCCCCAAACTCATCTCACCTTTTCTAATGCTTGATTCAGTCTCATACAAGCAGAGTACTTTATGGAGTGAACTATAGCAAATGGAATGAAGGTAATCCTTCATTTCCAGCCAGTGTAATTCAGCTTTGAATTTCAATTTCCTCTGACCCTCTTTTTATTTGTAAGCATTGGAGGAATGAGTACTACTAGGAAAGTAAGACGAGAGCCATTATAGAAGCTATCATAGTGAAGCACTTTCAAGAATATTAGAATACTAAATCTTCTACCTATAATCAGGTTACTGAACCATTCACTAATCACCAGTGCTGGATTACATATAAAAAAAAGAGAGAGAGATGCATAAATATTATGAATGGGCAACAGTTATGTGCATGGAAGAGATACCTTGGCCTTAGTGTTGTTTAGTCTAAAATACTGAATTTTCACACTAGAAATCTATTAGGCAGCACCTTCATATTATTATATTAAGGTGCTACAAATGACTATATGAAGTTGAGGCTGTATTTCTTCTTCCCATATATTATGCCATTTCTATTGTAGTAAGTTTAAGATTCCCAGAAAAGACTGGTGTCAAAAAGAAACCATAAAGACTTATGAACTCCAGGCCATTAGCTGTGTTATTGTGCATTGAACTTTTGCTGCATCTGTGTGAAGAGGACAGAGGCCGATGGGCAGAAAATGAGTATGTGCACAGTACACTGAAGGCACTGGTGGGAGCATTGTGGAATCCATTAGATCTGATTTGATTGTACCCTTAGGATCTGGACAATTCTGTTATTATGGCCAGCAGATCTCTTTCCTATAGTCCAGAGATTCTTATAAAGTGAAGATCATTTTTACAGTAACTAAATTCTCTGATCAATATTCTAAGCCTCCAAAGTGTTATTACTTATTAATTGTTCTTCATTAATAGGCCCTTAAGAGTTCCAAGTGAGCAGAGTTGACTCTTGTCTAAAGAGTTGCCTCTGAGCAGATGCAGTTCTCTTCTCTGCCTCTTCCATTTCTTCAGTTAGTGTGCCTTGAAAAGCTGTTCCACAACGTGCACCTGAAGTCAAGCATTGGCTAGTCTTGAAGACTGGTGATAGTGGTAGAGGTTAAGAGCTGAAACATCATAGTATATCTCTTTTCATTAAATTAGAGGTTCTGGAATAAAAGTTTCAATCTCTTAGAAGAATATCCCTTTCATTAATCAGGAAAGCATAAAAGAAAATAACTTATAGTTATTTATGGCTAAAATAATTCAGGTGATTAGATTAAAAATGAGTGGAGCCATTTTTGATCACTGACTGAAGAAAAATTCAGAAGCGATATATTTAATTCCAGTAATAAGTCTTTTTAAATTCCTTTTCTCCATATGGCAAAGCAGACAGGAGTAATCTTAAAGATATACCACTAAGGAAGGCCTTTGCATGTTGTTGTCATGGTAAATTGCAATGAGTTCTAAAATTTTTTTTGAGTTTCATTCTGGGAAAAAAAAATCCAGATTGACATAGGAGTTTTTTAATAAGTAGAAATAGTTAGGGTAAGATTAGTTGAATTCCACTATTCTAATCTCTATTCTGCCATGATTTCATTTGCATAGTTTCCTTTCACAAAAGCATAAATGGTTCCCCAAATGGGAACTCCAAATAAGATAAATTACTGGCATTGTTCAAACCTTTAACATAAATCTATATCATTTAAGGAGTTTTATGTATTGTTTTCTTCGTTAATACCCACCATCCTTTTAAAAAGGAACCCCCCCACCCCGTACCCCCAGTTCAGGAACTTTATCAATGTCATATCTTAGGGAATGATTTAGCTGTATCACCATAACCACTCTACCCCAAAATTAGTAGATTTAGGAATTTGTTTGTCATGATGTTGTTAAGCAGGTAGTATAGATAGAACAGTTTCGCTAGAAAGATTTATAGGAAATTATGGGTCTGGTGACTAGAATGTCCATTTTTATACATATGCAATGAATGAATCCAAGTTTCTCAATTGGAATATAATTTGTTAACTATCAAACATAGTTCTTAAGTTAATTTTACTCAATTATTTCACTAAGTTTTTGTTTGCCATATATCACTCTTTTTGTTGTCATCATGTTAATTTGAAGCTTTAAATAAATGAAAGCACTAGGGATCTGTGATTTATTCTGGTCTTCATCTGATTTGGATACTTCCGTATCCACAATTATATACCCAAGAAGACTGTTGTATCTCTGATCCTTGAACGAAGATTTCTTCATCTTTATGATAAAAAATAAAGACTCAATTATTCAGGTTATTTAGGATTTTCAGGTAGACAGAGGAAGAGATACAACAATAAAATGTTACTTGCCAAAGTCAGTACTGATTTATTGTTACTCATTTTTTCCACTTCACTTGCTCAAGGAAGCCTGTTTTGATGCTTGGTCCACTCAGACCAGGTAAGGCAAGGAGGAAAAATGTACAGAAATAATAATATTTCTTCCACCCAACCCACTAGGCCGGCAGTTAACCATCTTCAACACCCAGGCGCAAATAGCCATTGGTGGAAAGGACAAAGGACGCCTCTTCCAAGGCCAACTCTCTGGGCTCTATTATGATGGTTTAAAAGTACTGAACATGGCAGCTGAGAACAACCCTAATATTAAAATCAATGGAAGTGTTCGGCTGGTGGGAGAAGTCCCATCAATCTTAGGAACAACACAGACAACCTCCATGCCACCAGAAATGTCTACCACTGTCATGGAAACCACCACAACAATGGCTACTACCACAACCCGCAAGAATCGCTCTACAGCCAGCATTCAGGTAAGCCTTTTTCCACGTTCTAATTGCTCTGTGTTTTTCTCTTTGAAATATTACTGTCATGGTCATTGTTCTGTGTAGTTAAAAATTTTGAATTACTATGCTTGAAGAAAGGATGCCTTTAAATTCTCATAGTAACAAGACCCAAGAGTAGAGAAAAAAGTCTTGTGACACTTATGGGCTATTATTTCTCATATTTATCACTGAAATGGTAAAGCTTTTATTCAAAATGAACAATGGGCTATATTTTTAATATGAAATACTCCCTCCTCTCATTTTATTAGCTTTTCTTTCCAAGTAGCAGAAAGGAAAAGGGGGAAAGGAAAATTTGTTATCATAGGAAAGACTATCCTAGTTCAATTCTATTCACATCCTTTAGATAATTTTGCTAGAACATCAAGGGCAATTGAGCTGGAAGTTCAACTAATTCTTGTAAAATGCAGTCTTTTTGTTTGATACTAAGTTTTGATTAGTAACTTGTCATTTTTTGGTCCATTTTATTTCCAAGATAATGCTTTCAATATAAAATGTAAAGGTTTGACGTTAACTAAGCAGTAAGGCATTAGTTTTTTGGTTAGGTTCTCGTTTTTGTTTCTTTTTTTTTCACTTTAAAGTAATTATATCCAAGCGAAAGCTTACTACTTTGCTGACTCCCTTGGCATTTCATAAATCTAGTTAGTAGGGGATAGGAGGTTAATCAAGTTATTAGCTTTAAATACTCTGGCATAAAATAAGACATTCCAATTGCTTGTGGGGAAATTACCCCCAGCCTACTTAGTGTTTGTAGAAAATTCAGTAGGTCAGTACTTGTTCCTTCTGTTTCTCAGTTTTAAGATGTTATCCATGAGCTCAATTGAGTCATTGACATCACCTTTCCATTAACTCCAGGGGTCATTGTAAACGTAAAGTTAATAATTAAATAAGCCCCTCATGTGTTCCCACTTTTCTGAAGTAAGTTTATGTGAGTTAAGTATAGGTAAAGGTGTTCTCTTCCTTTTCATTTTCATTGAGCGGAAAACCAGACAACTCCTAACCTGACTCCATAGAAACAACTTGAAACTGTGCAATGATGTTATCAGCCAATTTTATGTTTTCCAAAGGCTCCTAAGAACCTGGCCAGAATAGCAGTCTTATAATCACACGTGCATTACATGCATACCTACGCACATGCTCAAAAGAGAAAAATAGTTCTGCTCTGCTGATATTAAAGCAATAACTCCTGACACCTCACTCCTCTCACTGAACAGAAGATAAAAGGCAATATATATTTCTATTATGACTCTCTATAGCTCAAGTGAAGATCTGTTTATTGTTGGTGAAAGGATAGCTCTGTTTGCACAGGTCTTGGCAGACTTGTTTTGTTTCTGTCAGAATATATTCTGCTAACTCTGTGGGAAGCAGAGGAGCAAATGGCTTTTTCTTCATAGAATGGCTGATCCTGTAGTCCTTCTTAAGGCTGAATTTTCACTGACCACAGGAGGATTTAATGTTACACAGGGATTCAGGGACTAAGGCATGATAATTGCCAGTTTTTGGTTTTCCCTTCTGTAGCAAGTACATAAATGTGAGTATTCTGGTTGAGTTCCTAACGTCTTTCTATGAACTAAGAAAGTCAGGTTTTCTGGAGGAGAGTGCCAAGGGTTTCCAGGTGCCAAGTTTTGCCAGTGATTATAACTCTAAACCCACTGTCTCTTAGAGGAAGGGGCCAGTGGCAGAGCCCTCACTGACAGCTTTTCTCCCAAGTGCGTTTCTTTCCCCTGGAGTCTGGTAATAATTGGATTCCATGTACATGTCTTTCCTTTTACTTCTACCAAGGCTATAAAAGCGAGTTATAAATCTGTTGGCACTCTTTGTTTTTAAGGGTGTATTAATACATAGTCTTGGAGGAAAGCCAACAGCCTTGCAGAATTGATTAGACTGGGATGAAGGATAAAATATCCCTGTGCTTTTTGTGAAGATAAACAAGAGGAAATAACATTGTACCAAGGGTTTTGAACTTTTTGTGGTTGTTTTTCTTGCCAAGTAGCCATAAGAACTCTGCCCTGTGTTCCTTAAAAACCCAAAGGCCTTGTCTTCAAGCCTATTCTGGTCTCAGGCTCATTCTATAGATCACATGAAGACCATGTGAGGACCAAGGACACAACCTCACATAGTCTTTGGATTCTTCCAAAGTTTAGGACAGTTCTTGGTCTCTCACTGAGGAAATGTCAGCTCAAGGAGCTTCAGTACTGCTTATATGATCTAGCTTATTTAGGTAATTTTTTTAGATGAAGAGGACTCATAAAGCTCTAATCTCTGGAAGATTCTTCAGAAAGGAGGGGAGAAAAATAGAGAAGATTGGATTTCATATTCACTGGTCTATCATTCACTCCTTCATCTATGTGTGAAATCATACACAGAACATTTTACAAATGAGTCTCTGTTCTGTCCTCTTTCTTTGATAATATCATTAAAACAAAGTTACCCTAAAATGAGGCTTTTCAAATAGAAATTAAAAAAAACACATGAGTCCACAAGTATAGAAATGTGACTATTCAAGTCTACCAGTCCTTCTGAAAGCATAAGGTAAGGAAATATCATTTGAAGAGTTTGTTTCTGGTTGACCTCGGCTAGTGTTGATTTCAGATCAAAGGAAAGCAGTAAAGTGCTTTTAGTGCTGCTCTTAACTGTGTGTGAATGCGAACAAATCGTTTTTGAGTTAATATAGCTCTACAATGCTCCAGTCTCCTGGAAATAATTGGTGCTTTGATCTTTCTGATATTTGCACTTGTTACAGGCATGAGTGTAGAATTGCTTGTGAAAAACATGGACTATGTTAAATTACTCACAGTGATTGTGTCTAAGCAACAGATCTTGACCTTATATTAAGAAGGCTAGCTCTAAGTTCCTATTTAAATATTTTTTTAAAAAGTGAAAATGCATACTGAGAAAATAGGCAGGAATATGATAATTCTAAAGTAAAAGTCTGGCATTTAGTAGGTGCTCAACAAATATACATTGACTAGAATAGAGAACAAGACAGGAATTGTTACCTACTTTACAGCAATTTAACAAGTGAAAATAGAATAGCTGGAGAAAGGCTTTCCTTCTAGGAGAATCCGGGTGTTTTAGACAATGTTTTGTTTGTTTCTTTCTTTCCCAGTTATAAGGGTATAACTTAGTGACTCTATGATGCACTTGGGTTTAAAATCTTGTTCATTCTCATATTAGCTAAGTAACCCTGGAAAAATCACGTGGGTTTTATTAACTATTGCTGATTAAAAAAAAAACTTTCTCATAACCTGGTAGCTTAAAATGACAACTATGTCATTAGATCCCCTAATTTGGTTGGTCAGAAGTTTGGGCAGGATGCAGTGAGACCATTCTGTTGACTGGGGTTTCTCAATAGCTGCTGAGGTCTGATGAGTTTCATTTCCCTCACATACCTTGTGCCTTAGTGAGTTAACTGGAAAGACTGGTCTCAGCTGGGCCATTTTTCCCTCTCCATGAAGTCTCTAGGATTCTTTTAAGCAGAGAACTCTTGGTCCATTCATAAAGGCTGAGGGCTCCCCAACAGAGTATTTTAAGGGACAGGAAGAAAGGGCTGCCAGTTTTGTCTAGCCTGAGACTGGACACTGGCACTGTGCTGTTGGTATCATACTCTGATGATCTAACTTTCCAGGGCTTTCCTACTTTCAGAGGAGGAATATAAATCTCACTTCTCAATAGGAAGAGCAACACGTTTGCAAACAATCTAAGTTAATCACATTGTGAAACAAGGGAGGCAGGGGACTAGCATTGCTTAAACTATATGATTGCTGTGAGGATAACTGAGTTCAAACACTCAAAACAAGTATACCACGCAGAGTAAGACTGTAGACATTTTAGTCATGACTTATGTTCTATACTCAACATTTGGTATACAAGTCAAGCATTGCTCTACCTAAGAAAATAAGGCTGTATCTGTTGAGGAAAATAACTGTGAATCATAGTAGAGGCTAGGAGATTTGGAGGAGATAAGAGATTTATAGGAAGTTCAGAGTAGAATTTATAGGATAAAATTAGTTCTGTTAAATCATGTGAATATCATATCAGGAATGGACTTCTCTGACACCTCCTTACCTATTTTAGATTTCTCTTTTATTTTTAAACCAAGTCTAGGTTCCTATGGGCCTTAGAAAATATGTTCTCTTATGAAATCTATCTATTTGCATATATTTTGGGGACTACAAAGAAGAGGAATTCAGATTCCTTACCATCATGGAACTTACAATCTAAAGAAGACAAGAGGACTTGTCATAAGCTATCAATAGGAGGCTGTGACTCATATAGGTTGCAACTGAGGAGTAGGATGTGGGATGGCTTGGCCAGATCTCATGGATGAGGTGGGTATGAAACTGGGCTTTGTACAATGAGTATAATTTAATAGGCAGTGAGAGAAATAACTTCCATGTTTTTAAGCTATACTGTAAAAGTCATGTATGATAATCCCTGATAGAGATAGCCAAGTCCAATGAGAAAAGAGAGATCATTGATGCAATTCATGAGTAATAATGGATCTAGATTGAAATTCTTGGCCTGAAACTTCTCCAAATGTGGCAGGACCTGGAGAGATGATCTGAGTTAGATTCTCAGTGGTCCTTACTATAGGGATGCCTCAATAATTGCACAGGTACTTTTACTACACCTTACTCCAATATGGGTGAGTAACTACAATGACATTGATGGGTTAGCTTCTAAGATAGGAAAACTCAACCTAAACTACATTCAAATTCCTTGTTCCTTATTCAGGATAGAAGGAAACAGTAAGAAACAAGAATCTTACCACTATCATTACTTTTAGCCACCACAACCAAAGTGCTGCCAGAAGTAAAGGGCCAAGAAGAAAACAGTTCCAAGAGTAATGTCATTCTCTTATCTTTGGCCTCCAGACTAAGTTGCTATCATCAAAGAAGGAGTTCAGTGTGTTCTGGGCAAATCACAGAATTGGAATTGTTTATACGCTGTTAGCAGGCTCCTGCTCA